TGTTACAGTGATCAACTACAATTGATCATCCCTAACTTTCATTTTCTTCATAATGTCATAGTACATAATGTTGGTCAAGCTCCCATTATCAAACATGATTCTTTTGATTACATAATTATACATTATGGCTGTGATCACTATAGTATCATCATGTATGTGTTGGATTGCTTCCAAAGTCTTCCTAGTTAAAAGAGATCGATTTATTTTTCTAGTATTCTTTTTATCGAAGTGCCCACGACCATGATCAAGCCTGGGTTAAACTTTCTTTTGACTGAGATTGAGCTACCTTCAGTGATCACATTAATTACCCTAACAATCAATCTATTGTTATCAATTCAGACTCTTCTTACCTTAACTCATCTTCTCAGACCTCTCTCATTCTATTTTTTGGTTTTTCTTCTCCATCTCAGATGGGTTTTTTTTTGTTTTGTTTGTAGTCTATTTTGGGTTGGCTTTGTCTTCGCTATTCTATAAACCTTCTCAACTAACCTTTCTATATCAAAGGCTCGATGTTATTTTTTAGGTTGATGTAATCTTTAATATTATGGCTTATGTCTCTGTAAAAGACACATCTTTTGGTTGGATTTCTCTTTATATTCTGTCTCAGTGGCTTCGACCATCTGAGGTCAGGATTTTTTTCAATTTACATCAGAATCCTCTTTCAACAAGTATTCGGTGCAGTGTAGTTCCTTTCTCTGCTGGGGCTTTTAGCCTTATGTTATCTCATTTTTAGAAAAGAATTGTAGAAATCTTTACCTTTTTTATAATCAAAGAGAAGGAATGAGCTTTTCTCACCTTGGTTGTTTCTCATTGTAACTTTAGCATTTATATATTTTTTAGCTATCAGTAGGACATCAGCCAAAGTTTTAGGTGGTTTTAGCTACAAGGTTAACTTCAGGTGGTATTCTTTATGATTGAGTCCACTTGTCAAGGCAGTTACAGTGATCATTTTCTCTTTGCCCCAAGTCTTTAACCTGCAAAACTTACACATTAAAACACGTGACATAGCTCTCCAGTGATTCATTGTGACCTTAGTGGATTAACATCAGACTTAAAGTTGTCTTTTTACTTTTTTGACTACTTACAAATTAAGATAGAAAAAATGGTTGAGCTTTTTAAATGTCGTTGTCATAACGTCTAGATTCGGGGATCTATCGTTAGATATTGACTTAAAGGAGTCGTTAGTAATCTTTTTTATCTATGTGTGATTAGCCACCTAAGGAATTTATCCTTTCAGGAAACACTTAAGTTTAAGGGTCCCTAAAAGAATAGGTTCAGGTCTACTAACCAGAACAGGGTTCGGGAGTTCGGTTAAGTGTGAGAAAGATTATAGCACCCTCACAACGCTCATCGAAAGATGATACCAGCTTAATTTTATGTTATCCAATAAGCCTTAAAAATTTACCAAATAATTAATTATTAAAAATTATTCTCAATTGACTCTAATACTTTTAGCAAAAAATTGAAAAAATTCCCTCACCTCAAGAGTATGCAAGAAAATTACTGTTTCACTTGCAGAGGCTTCATCGTCGGATTATTTAACATTAAAAAAAATTCAAGAAAATAAAAAGAAAAGAAAAAATGATTGCTTTTGTGCAGAAAAAATTGATACTTTCAACTTCTCCCCAAAATATTTTTTAGAAACTTTAATTTCAAGGAAAATTAATACTTTCAACTTTTTCTCAAACATCCATTTTCTGAAAACTTATTTTTAAGGAAAATTGATACTTTCAACTTTTTCTCAAAAATATTTTTTGAAAACTTTAATTTCGAGAAAAATTGATACTTTCAACTTTTCTTCAAAAAAACTTTTTTTGAAAATTTATTTTTAAGAAAAATTGATACTTTCAATTTTTTCCCAAAAATATATATTTTTTGGAAACTTTAATTTGGAGGAAAATTGATACTTTCAACTTTTTCTCAAAAAAAAAATTTTTTTTAATTTATTTTTAAGAAAAATTGATACTTTCAACTTTTTTCCAAAAATATTTTTTGGAAACTTGAATTTCGAAAAAAATTGATATTTTCAACTTTTCCTCAAAAAATATTTTTTTTGAATTTTATTTAAAGAAAGTAAAATAATAAAATAAATAAAATAAAAATAAGGAAAAGTAAAATAAAAATAAAAATAAAAGAATATTAAACAATTCTAATCTAATAATAATAATAATAATAATAATAATAATAATAAATAAATAAATAAATAAATAAACGAAAAAAAAAAACATGGGAACAGCTATTCTGAAAATTTTCGTCGAAATCTGAGTTTTTCGCTGGAAGTTCGTCGAAAAGTTGATCGATTTCTGAAAATTCTTGTCGAAAACTAGGTAGTTGGCCGAAAAGTTCAAACTTAGCCGAAAAAGTCACCGAAAAATTCAACCAAAATTTGAAAAATTTTCAAAAATTTTCAAAAAAAAAATTCGTAAAAAATTCTTCAAAAAATTTTCACCGATTCCTAGTACTATTCTAACCCACAAAAACCTTTTTTTAGCTTCCCTTTCTTCTTTATGTCTGTCTTTTTCTGTGTGTTTACTTCTGTTCTACCAGCACCTATTTATAGGGATTGATAAAAAGAGTTTCTGATCAATCTCAACTCTTTCTGAGATTTGGATTCAATCTTTGAATCCAATCCCAACTCTGTCAATTCCCAAATCATAGCCAAATTCATTTTAAATTTTTATCTTAATCTTAACCGAAAATTAATCAAAATAAAAAGATAAATATATTAATAGATAATAACAAAAAAAATAATTAGATAAATAAAAGAAATAGATAAATAATAAAAATATTAATGGATAGAAAAATATATATTAAATAATAAAAATAAAAATAAAAGTCTATTGGGGCCAACTAATTGGATCCTAAACCGAGTCCAATAGGCTTAGACCTAAATCTTATTGGACCAGGCCCTATGGGCTTAGGTCCGGACTAAATAGGGTGTCTACAGTCGTAATTGACCTTTTCCAAGCGACTATACCACGATCGAGCTACGACCTTTAAAGTGGTAGCAAGGCCCTTAAACATCAGAGTTTCGTCTACACCCTACATCATCATGTTAGTCCTATAAAGTTTCAAATGATCGAAAGGGTCAGACGTACCGTTGTATGTTTCTAAGGTCGACATTTTAAACCTTTTGAGAGGCATGGCTCTGTCAATTTCATCAGTGAAGGGCGAGCTTTCCAAGAACTTAAACTCATCTTCAAATGCCACTATTTTTGTTTTCAACTCTTTCTTCATGGCTTGCATCTGAGCTTTCAAGTTCTTGTTTGGTTGGGGTTCAGGATTTGCTTGTTTGAATTTTTGGGTTGTGACGTGTGTCGAGTTATGGCTGAGGTAATGGCAAACGAATGTGTTATAATCCTTTTCTCTGGAGGCCGAGGAGATTTCCATTTCTTTGTAACTTAGCTATCTTACTATGGCTCCTCAGCCAGCGATAATTAGGTTAGACACTTTCAAAACTTGCGGCGGGGTTATGATCTACAACATTTGTTTAGGGGCCTAAATTTGCTTGATCAAGGCCTAAAATTGTTTCATGGTTGGGCCAGTATGTGGTGGGGGAGGTTGTTCTAAGTATTGACTATTATGCATTTCTATTCCTGCCAGGATGGCCATCTCTCATTTTTCTAAAGTTCTCTTACTTGATGGCATTATTTTGTACTCAACTAGTGAGTGGAAAAGGAGGCCCCTACCTAGTGTGTCAAATATTTGTGCCGAACTCCGATCTCAAAATACTCCTAGAAAGACAAAAGAAAAAGACGGTTAGAGTTAAAGATAGGGAGTGTTCCTTACGTTTATACTCAGATGCGTAAGTCAAAATAGGTGAGGTCGGAATGAGAGTGATAAGGAGAATTAGGAGTAGAAGTAACTTACCTTAATAGTGCTTGGACTTTCATATTTAAAGATAAGTGACAAAGGATCATTTGAGGATAATAAGGACAATGTCGAGCTAATGTGGCATTGAGTTTGAGTATGTTAAACAAACCTGACATATCAGGTTGGCACAAATGTCGAAATTATCTTTGGTTATCTATTGAATGCTTCTAACATGAAAAAAGATCACTATATTTTTCTTACGGTTAAATACCCCCAACAATTACATCATAATAAAAATTGTGAGAAATGGTAGGACAAACAAAATATAAATGGATTTTCAATCATGTTCAAATACATGCGTTGACAAGAACAAGGAAAAAAAAAACATGGATAATGTTCGTACATAAGTTGTTTATGAAGTCGAAATCTTAGGACAAAATGCTGATAATGGGGTTAAAGCCCTAGACGATGCATCTGTTGCACTTGCAAATCTTTATTCAGTTACATTCAGATACTGATTTGGTTACATTTGGATTCGGACTAGCAGGAAAAAGGAAAAAAAATTATAATATGAAAAATAATCACATCAAATGATCATTTTCCATTTGTTCCTGGACAGCCCTGGAATGAACATCATTAACTAGAAAAATATGCAATGAACTTTGCAGGTCTTTGTACTGCTTAATAAATGCTTCATGTCTAAGATAGAAGTTTAGTTTAGATTGTGAAACATCAGAAGACGTCAGATTCATAATAGCAATTAAAAAAGTCCATCAGGATTCAGGAAGATTGAGTAGAAGACAACTAGGATAGAACAAAAAGTATATTCTGGTTTGGTTCTTTTACTCTTCAATTTCCGTGTGAAAGGGAACATGCTTGCCTAAGGGGAAAATTCAATAACTGAATCTGAGAGCCCGGCAGAGTTATATCAATGGATGGCAGAGTTATATCAATGGATTTTTTTATACAAGAATCTGAGAAACTTTGGAGGTTCAAATAACTAGTCTGCAGCAGCTCCAGAGGAGAGAAGAAATTAGAAAAAGCACAAGAAAGAAGAATCAAAACTATTATTATGTATTATCTTCCTTTCTGATTCACTGACTGTGAGAAAACAACACTTGGGTTTAAGTCATAACTTCTTTGTTTGCTCACTCCTCATCAATGTTAAGCATTTCTGTATGTGTAGCTTAAGCCTTATTGGCCTTTTTTTCAGCTGCCACCACCATGCCTGGATTTTTCTCCAATTGAAGGGAAAACTCAAGATTCCACAGCACATCACCCATTGAAGGGCGATCAATCCCATGATTGGATACACACTTTTCAGCTGTGTCTGCGAATTTCTTAAGGCACTCAGGATTAATCTTTCCCCTAAGATGTGGATCAATGATTTCATGGAGAGTTCCCTTCCTTTGGCAGTGTCCAGCCCAATCAGCCAAACTAGCTTGTTCCTTTGGCAAGTTTGCATTCAATGCCGGTCTTGCACACAACACTTCAAAAAGGACTACCCCAAAAGAGTAAACATCGGATTTTTCAGTCAATTGTTGCCTACGGAAGTATTCAGGGTCCAAGTAACCAAAACTACCTTTCACCATTGTACTAACATGACCTTGGTTAAGATTTGGACCTGTTTTTGACAGTCCAAAATCTGAAACTTTTGCCACCCAATTCTCGTCCAATAAAATGTTTGTAGTTTTAACATCTCTATGAATGATTGTGTACCTGGCACCAGTGTGAAGATAGTGAAGTCCTCTTGCAGCTCCAATGCATATTTCCAATCTTTGCTTCCATGACAAGGGATGTTTATTGCTCTTATAAAGGTGCTCCCTTAAAGTCCCATTAGCCATGTAATAATATACCAGAATCATCTCTCCATCTTCTTCACAAAACCCTATCAAGGAGACCAAATGCCGGTGTCTCAGCTTTGAGAGCATCTCGATTTCAGTCTGAAATTCATAAACTCCTTGTTCTGAGGAAGGGTTTGATCGTTTAATAGCAACGTTTGTTCCTCCATCTATAGTACCCCTATAAACCTTGCCAAATCCTCCAAGACCAATAACCTGAGATTCATCAAAGTTTTTGGTGCCATGTTTAATCTCCCATAAGGAGAAATGCCTGCAGAGACCAGCTGCAAGACTTGAAAGATGGCTATCGGTATTGCTTTTTCCCGATATTGTTGATTTGCTTGTTGATGTGTGGGAATTGCCATAAAGCGGCAACCAATTGCCCATTTTACAGTCCTTACCAACATTGTTCTTTTTATTAACAAAAACAAATACAGCAACCACTAAAACACAGCCAGTAAGCCCTCCAGCAACTCCACCAAGCAAAGGGCCAACTCTAGACGCTGATGGAGAGAATTCTTTTTCTGCTGCTTCTGCATTAACAAGCATTTCTGATGGCACAGGATTAGGGCCAGCCAAATTTGCATCTGTGTCATTCACTTTGAAAACCTCCAGTCCATTAAGAATTGCATCATAGTATTCAGGCTTCATCGATACAGTAGGATGCAATGCCACCCATATCTCATCATCTCCGGATTGATCGGTAACATAGGCTGCGTAATCCTTATAAACTGGTATTCCCTGAGATCCTGCCCAGCCAATGACATCGGCCCCGCTCTCCGCTGTTTGATTGTTAACAAAAACATCAAACACTCTTTGGTTAATTTTGGTAACCTGATACTCACAAAAATGTAACCTAACAACATATGTGAAATTTGCATCAACCTGAAATACCCAAGTGAGATTATAATTTTTGTTAACTTTTGGATCTGGCCCCATTGTTCGTGCAGTACTGTACACATTCAAAGGTGCAATATCTTCTGTTACATCTTTTGAATATTGAATTCTAACATTTTTACCTACCTCGGAGGTGACACCAATTGCAGCACCAAACAGATATGGTGAATCATCGTACCATGTTCGTGTAAGCCCAGAGTCATTGTTTGGAGCAATGGACTGTCCACCTATATTTATCCTAAACATTGTTTGCAAAGAAGAGCTTTGAACATCAACAAATTGATCACTATATTCAACCAAAACAGCAGGCTTTTTGAATATATCAGGCATAGGAATCACTTCAATGCCATTGATAAAAGCGTATGATCCACTTTGTTCAGTAGAAGGAGTGATAGTAACATTGAGATCACCGGATTCGACAGGTGTTAGAGAGAATTCTCTAGCAATATAGGCCAGTGTAAGAGCTTTTGCTGTGATGGAGGCACTGAAATTTTTCAGAAGAGTGAAGCCATTCGCGATAACGGAAAAGTAAGCCATGGATGGATCAAGATTGTTATAATTAGACGGGTAAAAATGGAGCCTGAGCCAAAGGCGGGTCTTAGGAGAAACAGAGAACTTGTATGATGATGTTGATCTGAAAATTCTTACATTCATGTATGGCACTGTAGATGGCAAGGAAGGGTCCTGGAATTGAGCTGTAGCTGTTTCTGAATTACCAGAAGAGGCTAGAAACTTTATGTCAGGGCTCCATTTTCGCCCATCTGCATCTGTACCATCACTTCCTGATGCACCACAAGAAAGGATATAGGAGAAAGATTTTGATTTAGAGCTTCCACTAAGAACATGAATTGAGTTCATAGTAAAAGAAAAGTAAAGAACAAAAAATACGATTTGGATTGTGGATTTCATGTTTGGATTGTGAATTATTTTAGAGAAAGTGCGAGAAATGATAGAGATAAAGGAATATACAGAACAAAAAACACAGTACAAGAAAACAAGGGAGCAAAGAAATGAGAGATTTTCCTTTACAATTATCAAAAATGAACGTGGAGGATTCAATAAAAAAGAACTTGTTAGTATTTCATAAATTTAGTTGCAATTTTCAGGTTGGAATCAAGGAGGTGAAGACGAAGGAGCAATTTCTTACTGTTATTTGCGTTTCAAGGATCTAGGGGACGTTAAAACAGGAGTGGTGATTAGAGTATAACGGAAATAGAGAAACGGCAAATTTACACTTCATGCTTGAATGCGTTCTTATAGATGGGCAGTTGGCTTTTCTTGAGCTTAGGCTTTGAATTTCCAAATCTTTACCATGTCTAAAACTGCCTAGCTTTTACATCAATCCATTTTGATTGTTTCATATATCTTTCTCATAACAATTCGAAAATGCCAAACATTTTGAATCTTAATCATTAAAATTAAAATTTTAACATTTTATTAATCACGATAGAAAAAAACTTATTCTAATGCTAATAGTGTACCCTTCCTTGCATGAAAGTTAATAATATAAACGTTCGTTCGTGTCTATGATAATTCTGTATGATAATACTTGTAAAAGTGTTGAATGAATGCTGATAGACACAATTTGAACTCTACCACATTCAAAGTGCATTTTCTTTTCCTTCTTCATATAGGGCAGGGCTACCGGCTAGTGGCTACATTATAGTTAACTGTAATGGTAATGCGCAATGAATGTATATTCAATTATACAGTTTTAAGCAATTGGTATTATTAGCGGTAATTTTCATTTACTTGACTTTAAAAGTTGGTTTTTTACTTTTTTTTTTTTTTTACCATCTGACATATGATTTGTTAAGGTGTTATCAAGCTTAATGTAACTGTCAAGCATTACTAAATAAAATGTTTATTTTTTACTTTTTCTATGTAAAAAATCTTTATTCTACCATTAAATTTGTAACTGTTAAGCCTTGTTGAAATGTACCAACAAAAAAAAAAAAACCCACCCTCTTGCCAATTGCCATGTTCTGACCTTTTTCTTTAGTCATTTTTTTTGTACAGATTTGGATCATTGAAATATTGCCTGAAGACCCGAAAACGGGCTGTTATTTTTCTGCTGGAAATGATATTTGTGTGGTGAAATGGACCTGAATATTGCCTAGTTTCAGAGTTTTGAGTTTGCCTAATGAGCTAAGGATTAGGCCAATTGACCCAAAAACTAAAAAATATCATGTAGCCCTACCGCTGAATTCTGTTAAAAAAGTTATCCATCTAACCGTTGGTCTTTCATCTTTACCCGCTTCGCAGCCATGGCTTTGAGCTGCTTCTCCTGCAATTCTCCAATTCCTCCTCAACATCAGGGTCTGTTCTTTTCTTCTCTTCTCTTCTCTTTTGCCTTTTCTTTTTATAGTTGGAAGAGAAACTCCTTTGTTTCTTTTTCTGTGGTTTCTCACTTCCATATATAGTCTGTTCTCTCTCGCTGTAGTGAATTTGACATTTGGAAGCAAAGGATCTCTTTAAAACGTGAAAAACATTGTCAAATCAATTGGGATTCCTTCAAAATCATGTTCCCCACACCAATCTCTCCAACAGTGTAACTGGGTCAAGCTTATATGTGGTGCTAGCTTTAAGGTAACTATGATTCTAAGCCTCCCTTGTTTACACTCTAGCTGGAGGTAAAAGAAAAAAAAATCTAGAAGCCAAGTAGCAAATGTGTTATGGATGCTCTAACAGAGTAATTATGAAACTTGATTAATTGTTAAGTGGAGATATAACTAGGGGTGAGAAAAAATTTTTGATAAAATCGAAACCGATTTAAAATCTTAATATTCAATTATGTAAGAATTAATTTTTTTTATTTGATTTGAATTAAATTTAAATATAAAATGTATATATTAAATTAGGATCAAATTTTAAATTAAATTATATATATTTATTAGTTTTTATATATTTTTCAATTTTTTATAAAACAAAAATAATTATTTTGTAACTAAATCTATTTAAATATATTAAAAATTATATTAAAATAATATATAAAAATTTTAAATTAAAAAATCGATAAACCAAATAAAAATTTTTTATTTAAATTAGATTAAATCGAATTATATAAAAATTTGATTAAAATTTTAAAAATTTATAATTTTATACATTATTCAAAAAAATCAAATCAAATCTAAAAACGTTTTCACCCTTAGATATGACTATCATTTAACTCTTACTTGTGAAATGTTAAATGGTATAAAATTATAATCATTCATTTATTACTTACAAAAATTGTGTGAAAGAACACCAACTCGTTGAGAAAGCCCGTTAGATGGAGCAGGCCAGAAATGGGCCGAGTGGTCTGACCCATGCTCCTCTGGGTTAGTTTACATTTTACTAACTACCTGGGTTAGCCTAGTTGAGCCTAAATGCAATCTGAATGGGCTTTGCCGTCCAAATGGCCGACAACAAGGAGCAAAGAAACCGCGTAAAGAAAATCAAACCAGTCGCTCATTTAAAACCGACTCACCAGTCATCTTCTTTCACTTCCAAATTTCCATCTTCCCAAGTTTCTCAGTGTTCTCTTCGCGTCATTTTTCTGTTATCAAATCTAGTTTTTCCTTCCCTTTCTTTGTAACAAATTATCTTCTTTGTTACTCTCTTCTCAATATATAAAGGCAGGCGAGAACGGTTGTTTCTCTCATGTTTCGAACACGGACATGGAAGATCAACAAAACACATCATTGTCCTCTTCTATGTTCGAAATTGAGGTTAACGCAACGTTTATCATTGTCAAGAGAAATGCTGGCATTGGAAATGAAATGTTAATGGAGGCGGGGAGGATTATGTCACAGGTGATCCACGAGTTCCCTTTGGAAGATTTGATTAATGATGGCAAAGGTGCCATTTTGGACATGCTCAACTCCATGCGCGTCCCGGTTCAACCGCCCATGGTGGAAGAAATAGCGGCCACCGCGGTTTGCTTGGCGGCTGCTGTTAGAGATAAAGATAGCAAGGTTTTGAGAATGCAGGTGAAGATTGAGGCGATTGTCGATAACGTGCCAGACTTTGGGAATGATGATGACACGGATGATGATGATGAAGGAACGGTGACGACGGTGGAAGAGGTGGTGGAGAAAGTGGGGAAGGTGGTGGTTGAAGGGTCGGGAAAGGATTGTCCAATATGTTTGGAAGAGTTGGTGGTGGGTTGTGAAGCGGCATGCACGCCTTGCTCGCATGTTTTTCATGAACTTTGCCTTGTGAATTGGCTGAACAAGAAGAAACGCTGCCCTTGCTGTCGTTTTAAGTTGTCAAGGTAAATTCAAGTTTAGGGTTAGAACTTGGAAGAGAAGCTGAAAAAGGAGTTCAACGAAGCTCCTGCTGTTTTTTTTTTTTTTTCCTTTTTCCTGGATTTTTCTTTCCTTAAATTAGCTCCAAATAGTAATAATTTTTTCCCTAAATGTAATTTAATATGTATTTCACGAATAAAAATTATCTTAATTATGAATTTAACCTTCTCAAAGAACTTTTCTTGCAAAACAGTTAACTTTCAGAAATGAAGGAGGAAAATGAAAATCATCAAACCTATGGGAATTGTGAAGCAAACTTATTAAGGGTGCATTTGGATATCATTGTGGTGCGATGAGATTTAACCTTTAAATGAAAAATTAACTGGACTGATCTTCCGTTTGGTTACCTTATTTCGGTGCGGTATGAACAATTTTGTCATCCGAAGCACTAATTGCTCATCGAAAGGAGAACCCTCCAATGGCTTCCTCTTTTACCCTTGGATCCAAAGCAATTTACATCAAAATCTGGAAAAAAAAAATCTCAGCTCCTTTCTATTTGGCCTAAAAAACTGAGTTGAGAACTTTGTTTTTTTTCATTTCTTTGTTTTGATTTTAGTATTTAAAAATTGTAAAACAATTTTATTATTATTTTATTTAATATAATATCTATTATAGAATAAATTAATAAATAATAAATTTTATTATTATATAACAGCTAATAAATTCACATTTATTAAATTTTATAAAAGTTAAATGAATAATAAATTTTATAAATGTTAAATAATTTAAAATTTTTACTAAATTTACATTTAAATTTAATATCTTTAATGATTATTTTTTATCTCATCGTTATTTTATATTTACATTTAAATATATTTTTCATTATTAATTTTAATTTTATTATTATAATAATTAATTTTATTTTTATCATTATTTTTAATTTCACAAAAACTAATCTTTTCATCCATCTAAATAAACTTAAAGATATATTTTTTTTTACCCACGTTAAGAAAGTTTCCAAGTATCTTCAGCATATTAATCACTCTTATTTAGCATTTGTGATAATCCTCCGGAAAATATCTCTCACTTAGTCACATGGACTTACTGGTTTCCCAGAAAAGATTGACTTTAGCGTCCCAAGAGAGACCCATTGCCGTTTAGGCGCATAGTCACATGTTGTTTGTAGTTGACGTTTTCATCGGACTCTCAAATGGACTATCAATGAAGAATAGATAGTATTGGGCTAGGCCCGTGCATGTATGGCTATGTGAACCATTGCATATACGTGATCAAAACCAAAAACAATAATTGAACAAGTGTAGGGCAATCATCTTTCCTGTGCTGTTAAAGATTACGTTTTAAGTTTCAGCCAGCCAGAGTCACAAAATCTAAAAGATCCAGAAACAAAAATTTTACTATATAGGCATATAGTAGGTTTGAATTAAATTTAATAATTTAAAATATAATATAAAATAATTTAATAAAATATAATTTAAAATTTTAATAATTATTATTATATATTAATTTAATAAAATCAAAAAATATATATTTTATATTTTATATTGATATAATTTATAATACATAATTATCATATAAAATAAATAAAATACAAAAATTTTAATTTATAATATATGAATGTCAATTAATACTAAGCCATAGCTATAGAAATATTAACCAATAATATAATATCAAATTTTAATATTGACGAATAATATAGTAACAAATTTAATCTTAAACACTATTATTCATTTCGCCAAAAGTCGAATTCTGTTGATTCAGATCATGATAGTGCTCGACGCCAAACATTCACAAGGTTGGGCTGGCTGTGTTGGAGTCAAGTCAACTCCTGACTTAACCCCCACATATTGTATTGACCAACAAATTATCGTAAGTTTCATATTAAGAATTCTGTTCAAGTCAATTTTTTTTTAAGAAAAATTTGGGATAATTAAATTATTCGGCTGGCTGTGCTGGATTCAGAGTCAACCCCTGACTTAAAACCTATATATTGCAATATTTTACAAATTATCTTAAGTTTCATATTAATATTTTTGTTAAAGTCAAATTTAAAAAAAAAATTGAGATAAATAAATTATTAAATCCTTCATATCAAAATAAAATATATTATACTCAATAATTTGAAAATAATAACTATAAATCATACATTTAAAATAATTTTAATAAAAAATCATCAACTGTACTCAAATCTAAAATTTTTTAATTAAAAAAAAAATTTTATTAATTAATGAACTTGATCAAATTTTTTTCGCGACCATCAGTGTGATTTCATTCATTCTTAAAGTTTTCTTACACTTTAAAAAAATTCATGACGAATTAAAGCAAAGAGATTACCTGATTTGTTTTTTTTCATCTTGTTCAGTCTGTCTTCACCAAACTCTTTCTTGCTTTGTTTAAATAATTTAAACATTGATTTTCTGGTTTATTATAAAGCATTAAAGAAACAAAGAATGACGTGTGCTGCAATTTATTTGTTTATATATATTATATTGTTTCTTCAGTTTCTAAATTAAGCTAAGAAATGTTATATACGCAACTACTATCTTTTGGATCAATTAATATATTATATTATTGAAATTAATACTTAAAAATTATGAATTGAACAAAGTTTATGTGTAATTTATTTTTAAAAGTAAATTAAAAATTTTAAACAGTTATATACGCAACCGCTGAAGCTCCACATTGTTTTCCACTGGTCAGCAGTGAGGGCCAAGACTTAAACCAAAAGAGGGGCAACTACTGAATAAATTGAGTGGAAATGGTGGAATATATTGGTAATCTTTTACTTTAGAGTTCAGACCAATAAAATTAATGTCCTTATCACTTTCAATTTCAGCTGCCCAAGTAAAGAAAATAAGCCAACTATTATAAGTCATAGTTTATTTTATATTCCATAAATTTCATTTTTTTTTTTAATTCCAACTTAATATTAAAATTTTTTTCACGACCATCACAGTGTGATTTCATTCATTCTTAAAGTTTTCTTACACTTTAAAAAAATTCATGACGAATTAAAGCAAAGAGTTTACCTGATTGTTTTTTTTCATCTTGTTCAGTCTGTCTTCACCAAACTCTTTCTTGCTTTGTTTAAATAATTTAAACATTGATTTTCTGGTTTATTATAAAGCATTAAAGAAACAAAGAATGACGTGTGCTGCAATTTATTTGTTTATATATATTATATTGTTTCTTCAGTTTCTAAATTAAGCTAAGAAATGTTATATACGCAACTACTATCTTTTGGATCAATTAATATATTATATTATTGAAATTATACTTAAAAATTATGAATTAAAAAAAGTTTATGTGTAATTTATTTTTAAAAGTAAATTAAAAATTTTAAAAAATTATATACGCAACCGCTGAAGCTCCACATTGTTTTCCACTGGTCAACAGTGGGGGCTAAGACTTAAACCAAAAGAGGGGCAATGACTGAATAAATTGAGTGGAAATGGTGGAATATATTGGTAATCTCTTACTTTAGAGTTCAGACCAATAAAATTAATGTCCTTATCACTTTCAATTTCAGCTGCCCAAGTAAAGAAAATAAGCCAACTATTATAAGTCATAGTTTATTTTATATTCCATAAATTTCATTTTATTTAATATTAAAATTTCAAGTTTTAACCATTGAAATGTTCAATTGAAGACAGACCATGTACATTGTGTTTTATTAGATTGAATAAGTTTTTCAAATTTACACTTTATTAACTTTGATTTTGATCATTTTAAATTGTGCTTGTTCAAGTCTATATTAATGGCATTTTTTTATAAAAAAGTTGTAACTTTAGGATAAAAAAAATTAAAAATAAAATATTTGAATTATAAATCTATTAAATATCATTTATTAAAAATAATTGCATAAATGCAATAACTAAACTTAGTTATGATTTGATACCAATGGTATTTTTAATAATTAATGCAAGTCGGGTTGAATTATAAATAAACTTAATGATTCATATATTTATATTATAAAAATATTAAAATTTATTTATTTTTATAATATTTTATGTAAAAATTATGTATTATAATTCGTATTGATATGAAAATATAAAATATATATTTTTAATTTTATTAATATTATTAAAATTTTAATGCATATCACTTTTATATATTTTTTTATATCATATTTATATTATGTTTTCATATTATATATTTTAAATTATCAAATCTATTTTTGGATGAATTGTATGAATTAAGTCAGTCTTTTTATCACCTGTTAATTCAAATGCTATATACCATCCAGGTCCAGTTTCATGACATTTCCACCCAACCTTATTAAACGGCGGCAACGAGCAACAGCCAACAGCCACCAAGATTAGATATATATGCATATGCTATAACTAGTCAGAATAGAGTGTGTGTGCTCTTTTGTTTTGTTTTTTCTTTTCTCACTTGTTTAAGAAGAATATTATTAAGAATATATTTAGTATACAAAATTATGATAAGATGATATAATATTATGAATAAAATTAGATTAAATAATGTCATTTTATTTTGTATTTGATATGTGAAAAATTATAATAAATTAATTTATTTATTGATCAAAATTATCTATATTTAAAGTTTATATAATTTAAATTATTAATATAATTTTTAAACATATAATAGAATATATAAGTTCATTTTGTGGATTAAAATAATTTTTTTTTTATTTTGAAAATATTAAATCATCCTATACTTGGATAGGAATGATCTATTGACGAATCATTTACTAACAACTTGTGTACCGATAGAAAATTATATATAAATTTTTGTTTAGTTCAATTTAAACTTTAGTTCAGTTCTTCTATTATAGTTTTTTGTTTATTCGCACAAGTTTAAGATCGGTTAATAACAACAATCATGATGATTTTTTTTATTTGCACAAGTCTAAGCTCGGTGTTTGATTTAACAAAGGTTAATTCGATCAAGCCCGGTTAAGTCGGCTAAAAGTTTGCCTAATCACTTGAATTAAGTCAACTTTAGAATCTATCTAAGAGCTAAGTTAGATTTTGTTATATAGGTTAAGGTATGATCTTAGTGTGAGCCTATGTGTCATTGGATGAGTATAATTAGATTTATATACTCAAGTACAAAATACAAGTGTGACCTTAGTTTAGTTCAAGCTATTAATAATAAACCTTTAA